ACTATGGGAGGGCGGTTTACTCGTTCATTCGCAAGGGGCGGGTGAATCTGAGGAGCAGGAAGCCTCTGGCTGTGGCTGCTCCGGCCACAGTCTTCCCTCCCGGGCCGCGTGATCTGCAGTGACCTGCAGTGACTTTCCATCACTGGCAATGAACACAGTGACTTGCAATAAGGGTTGCGTGTGGCTCTTCCTCCCAACTCTGGTACCTGCTGCTGGGGCACCTCCGAGCATTGCTGCTACACCAGACCATACCCCACCTCCTCTCCACTCATCCCTGCTGCTGCTGCTCAATTCAAAGAATACGGACGTCCGATTGAGCACCCACTGTGATGCCTGTCCGCTCTTGCCGCCTGCCTCGGCTTTGGTTCTCCTTTTGCGGAAAGGATTTTGTCCACCCTTTTCCACTCTGATTTTGATGTGCATGTATTTTCAGTCTTTTCTGATCAGGGCTGAGGGCTCTTACAACACGTGTGCTGGGTACAGTTCAAAATTGGTGGGTTTCATTCAAGCTTTGACAGTACCAATGTGGGTTGGGTTGGGTATACATTTATCTGTAGCCACATGTGGTCTGCTGTCTATTCGGGTTAGATACGTCATCCTGAGTTCTATAGTCACAGCTGTCATCAACGCAGTTGATCTCGTTTTTCTGTAGGAGTCAAAATGCCCCTTTCGAAGTAACAATCTGGTAGATGGAGGGTGTTGGACTTGCTGATCATCATATCCAAGAGACGAGGAAGATGTATGCAAGAAATTCTGCTATGTCTTTACATGATTGCTGAACCAGAGCAGAGTGATGTAAAAGGTAGGTAAATAATTATATTTCCGTTGTAAGATGCTACAGTAATGTATCATGCTAGTGACAGTACAGTGGTAGTCAATCACCTCTCCTTCCTGATTAGTCAAGTCATGTATCGGTACAGCTCCCTTCTCAGACAATCACCTCGCCTTCCTGATTAGTCAAGTCATGTATCGGTACAAGCATGGTGTCTCGCGTCGCCTCACGTCCCTGGTGTTACCATTTGCCTCGTGGATGTCCGTTTGGGGCCGAGACGCTGGGCGGCGTGAATATATCGAGCTGGCCGTCCCATTCTGGTTACTGGACAACTCCCTCCCGATTGGTGAAGCAGGAAAGAAACACTCGCATTGACACACTGTTGAATGTAATTTTCGTAGGTGCTCGACCGTCGTCTAGTCGTTATCGCAGCGGGGCAATCAGCCCCTCCGCGCTCCGTAACAGCCAATGATTGGGCTGAACTTTCGCGGTTCGATTTCTTTAGCTATCGAATCGAGCCGCGATAACCTAGCTGCCCCTCCCCACGGCGACTCCTACCAGATTGGCCTTCGCTGCACCACTCGCGTCGCGCCCTACGCCCTACCTCACTCACAGTTTCCTAACAGAAGCTCACATAAATACGCGATCCTAAGTACCATCAGCCATCAGTTCGACATCCATCAACCACCATCAGTGGTGCTTACATCTCATCTCCACCATTCCATCGTTCCAGTGCTGCTGAGGCGACATTTACTACCTCTATTGTTAATCCTGCGAGTAGTCTATTAGATTCTTCTTTGTGAGCTCATTCTCTTCGCCAGATGGAGATCGCTTGGATGAAAAAGGCTGCGATATGGGCATTCGCCGGACTGGGCCTCGCTCTGGCCGTCATCTCCTGCTGCCAGATGGCCGACAACTATTTCGTTCTTACCCACCCCGACGCTTGCATCGCTTCATCCAACGGAACTCACTGCGCGGCAGAATTCCGCGTAGCGCGGCGATCCCTAGGCATCGTGCCGCAGACGCCTGAGCAAGTCACCTCAGCCATGATCGCAGCGGTGAAAGCGCAAGTCGCGGCGCTGATCGAGGCAGCCGATGAGATTAAGACCAACAACGTGCGGGAAGACCATTTTACAAATGTGATGGCGAGGACTTGCGCGCGCCAAGCCACCATCGCGCTGCGCTACCTGGGGCAGGCGGGAGATGCGGTGGAGGCGGGCACGAATCAGCTCGACGTGCCGTACTGGCTGGCTGCCGCCGATACGCAGATCGACAACTGCGTCGATGGCTTCCAGACTTTCTCGCCCGCCGCGCAAGGCTTCCCCGCTTACGTACATCTCGAGGTTCGTTACCACTGTTTTCTCGAATAAACAATCATTCGGCTGCATTTCTTGCACGTGCTTTTCTTTTCTCCGCGCAACAGCAACACTGGTTTACTATCCGTTCTGAATCCCCGTCCCCTCCTCCACGTCTCCAATTCCCCTCCGCAGTATACGGCGAAGAAAGCGGGAAGCACTCTTGACGCCCTCTTATCCATCACCAACGCCGCCGCAAAGGCCGCCGCATCCGCCGCTACCAGCGTCGCATCAACGGAGGAGGATGTGGCGCCCGTGCGCGGACGCCGCATGGCCGTCCGATCCAGCAGCTCGGGGAACGGCGCGATGGATTGGCTTGAGGCGGGCTTGTACGAGCAACTGCAGGAGCTCCAGACGAGGCTGAACGCCGAATTCGCCACTGCGGGCGAGGAGGATTCGGAGAGCGGCTCTATCTCGAGGAGGCAGTTGCGCCATCGCCACGACGACGACGACGATGATGATGATGACGAGGATAAGAAGGATAAGAAGGACAAGAAAAGTAATAGCAGCAAGAGCAGCAGCAAGAAGAGCAGCAAGAGCAGGAGCAAGAAGAGCAGCAAGAGCAGCAAGAAGAAGGCGTCACCCAACCAGGGTCCGATGGTCGTCAGCGCGTCTCTCGCCGCCAGCGCGACCGTCGGATCCGGATACAAGTCGATCCAGGACGCTGTTGACGCCGCTCCCGGCGGCACGCGATTCGTGATTTACATTCCCGCGGGAACGTACAAGGAGCAGGTTGTTATCTCGACGACGGATATCGTTCTGATTGGTGCGGGCACGGGTAAGACGATCATCACGGGCGACGCGAGCTACGGCAGCGGATCCGGGACGTTCGAGTCGGCTACGGTTGGGGTGGATAGCGACAGGTAATGCCGCCGCCCTTTCCCCTTTTCTGCCCAATTCTCTCCCTCCCCCCCTTTATGTAATTTCGTTTCTTCTCTCACGCACAGCTTCCCTCTCTTCCCTCTCTGCCCTTGCCCCATAATGTACGCACCCACCTGGTAACCACACAACAGGTTCGTCGCCTTCGGGATCAAGTTCGTCAACACGGCAGGCCCCGAGAATCACCAAGCAGTTGCGTTTCGCGCCACCGGCGACCAAACAGCTCTTTTCAACTGCGCGTTCGACGGATCGCAAGATACATTGTATGTGGACGCGGGCCGCCAATACTACAAAAACTGCTACATTGGCGGCTCGCAGGACTTCATTTTCGGCGACGCGGCCGTGGTTATCGATGCGCCCAAGATTCAGCTTCACCCAAGCCCCTCTTTCGGGACCCTAACTGCGTCGGGACGGGCCAAGGACACCCCGACGGGGATCGTGATTCGCGACGCTGTTGTCTCGGCGGATCGCGGCACGAAGAAGGTGTATCTGGGCCGTCCGTGGAAGAAATGCGCCTTCACGGTTTTCATCAACACCTTTCTCCCCGCGGTACGTTTCCTTCCTTCCCGTTTCTGCCTGCGCGGTTTCCGTTTCCGTATCCGTTTCCGTTTCCGTCGTGTCTCTGAGTCGGCGCTGAACCATTCGAACAAGTGCCTTGCTGTCGTGGAACGACGGCAGTAGCATGTTTGTTCAAAGCGTTCCCACCTCCTACACTCATCCCCATCTCCCATCCCCATCCACCCCTCCTCAGGTGATCGAGAGGGACGGGTGGCTGTCGTGGAACGAGGGCAGCTGCATGTTTCTGGCGGAGGCGGGCAGCAAGGGGCCGGGCGCCGCGGCTTCCCGCGCGGACTGGGTGGACCCTGGGATCATCACGAGCGTCAGCGGATACGACGCCAACACCTTCACGCAAGTCAACTCCTGGCTCCGCCTGTCGCGCTAGGGCTTCAGTAGGAATTCTTAGTTTCTGAAAGCGTACCTAATTGCCAGCGCCAGTAGGAGTCGCAGCAGCAGCAGCAGGAGATTTTGTAGCAGTCACAAGCACACCCAGTATGGCATGGCTGCTGGAGCGCCAAACCCGCCTAGGAATTCTTAGTTTTTTTTTTAAGACGAAGCTGCTAGTAGAAGGCGACAAATTTTGTGCTCTTCTGTACAAGGTTCAGGGAATAAATAAATATTGTCTAGCTTTGTACCATGTTCTGTGAAGATCTCCCACGATCACCTTTGTACCAAGGTAGCACTGGCAGTGCAGGTGGGAGCATGGGTTGGGTCATGCTGCGCTACAGCTAGCAGTAGGCATATGTAGGTGTGCGAGTGACACTTGAACATGTGCTGAACAGGGCTGTCGCTTGCCCTGGCCGAAGAACTTAGCGGGCTGAGGTGGCCTAATTTCAGCCCTTAATTTTCCGGGTTGAGCCCGATTTCAACACTTAGACTCAGGGCTACACATCCTTCTGCACTTGAGCGTAAACACATCGTGAAAGTAGGTTGATGTTCCAATACACCTAAGGGCTGCGGAACATAGCAGATACATAACCCGATCTTCACTGCAGAGGGGGAGCTGGTAGGTAAGGTGTTTTACGTAAGCAGGGAATGAATAACAAGGGAACGAGGGGGTGCGGGGGTGGGGATGGGCTCTGAACGTGTACGTGAAATCTGGGTTAGGAGGTAGACCAGCCCTTAAAGGAAAAAGGGCTGGCCTCAAAGCCAGCACTTGAATTCTCTGAGTTGGGCTCAAACAAGCACGTGAATTCAAGGGCAAAAAGGGCAAATGCCCTCGTAGCGACAGGCCTGGTGCTGAACAGCCAAGCTAGACCATCGCCATGGTCTCTTCTTTCAGTTGGCACAACACCTCTAAGAAGCACTGGCAGCGCAGGTGGGGATTTGGCACGTGCTGCTTTACAGCAAACACCACTATACGGGCTGCTCTGCTATGCTCTGTACAAGGTATGTCTGAAGGTGACATGTGAGTGGGTATTGTTGAAACATTCAAGCTAGACAATCGTCTTTGCCTCTTCTTTGAGTTGCTGAAACGCCTCAAAGAAGCACCGGCAGAGCAGGTGTGGGTTTGAGACGTGCTGCTTAACCGCAGATACCACTACGCGAGCAGCTCCCTTGTATGTCTGAATGTGACACGTGAGCGCCTGGTGAGGATGCCAAAACAAAGACAGATTTAAATTGCATGATGAAGACGCGAAGAGGATATCGTCCTTCTACATTTAGCGTACCTGTCGAATAACTTCAAGAAAAGGCTCAATCACCCACTCACTCTCATGCGTGCACAAAGATAGAGGTAAAGCTACACTCACATGGTTACTGCCGTAGACTGAAGGAATGATGGCAGAGATGGGGTGGCCGTGCAGTGCCACCTCTTCTAACGGCCCCACCACATTGGAGAGCGAGAGGGTGGTCTGATCCAGGCTGCGACGGGTGAGCACTGCCACTGGCTGATAATGGGAAAATGGGATGATATACAGAAGAAGTGGCAGGGATGGGATCGCCATGCAAAGCTACCTCTTCTTCTTAAGGTGCCCCCACGCTGGAGAGTGAGAGGGTGGTCCAATCCAGGCTGCGACGGGTGAGCGATGCCACTGGCTGAGAAGGGGAGCAACCGGAAGTGGAGGGGAGGATAAGAGAAGGAAGGAACACAATGGAGCAAGAGAGGGGTCCACAGTGCGTGCCCCCCCCATGCTGGAGAGTGAGAGGGTGGTGTGATCTAGGCTGCAACGTGTGAGAGGGTGGTGTGATCTAGGCTGCAACGTGTGAGTGCTGCCACTGGCTGATGAGGGGAGACGGGAAGTGGTGGGGGGGAGAAGAGGAGAAAGGATAGGAAAGGCAGGCAAGGCAGCGACAGGGCAAGGAAGAAGTCAACCAGCGACAGGGCAAGGAAGAAGTCAACCAGCGACAGGGCAAGGAAGAAGTCAACCAGCGACAGGGCAAGGGAGAAGTCAAGACAGGATGGGCCCACCACGTTGGAAAGCAAGAGGGTGGTTTGATCCAAGCTACGATGCGTGAGTGCTACCAGACACTTCACCTTGCATCCCACGAGCGGCATGAGCTGGCGGCCATTGAGGTACGTCCAATGAGCCATCAGCGAGTCCTTCCTCGAAGCACACAGCGCCCTCACTGCGCCCAGCCTCTCTTATCAGTGCATGACTCAATCCCATCTCACGTCTCAGCTCACAATCTGCCAGCAGCATCGCCACCAGAGATCTCACCTTGCATCCCACGAGCGGCATGAGCAGGCGGCCATTCAGGTACGTCCAGTGAGCCATCAGCGAGTCCTTCCTCGATGCACACAGCGCCCTCACTGCGCCCAGCCGCTCCACCTCCTCCCTCGTGACCTTCCCCTCCCGCTCCCCCTCCCCCGCCCTGCAGCTTGGCTTGTTTGAATCACTCTGCTGGCTCGGCCGGTAGTTCCTTCCCTGCGCTCTGCTGTAGATGGGCAGTGGCAGCAGGATATTCCCAAGGTGGTTGCCCCACCGTGCTTGCGACCTCTGCCCCGCCATCAGCTCACTCAATTCCTGACAGACGGGTGAGTAGGGGGTGAGTCAAGATGAAGCGCGGGTTAGGACAGAAGCAGCAGGATATTCTCCCAAGGTGGTCTGGTTGCCGCACCGTGCCTGCGACCTCTGCCCCATCAGCTCACTCAATTCCTGGTGGGCGGTTGGGTGAGTAGGGTGAGATGGGTCAGGGTGGGGCGTGAGTGAGGATAAACGCAAGTTGACTTTTGAGGCGCCTCAAATGAGGCACCCACACGGCTCTGTGGCACATGGCGTGTCAAGGCATGCCACGTGCTTTTGAGGCGCCTCAAATGAGGCACCCACACGGCTCTGTGGCACATGGCGTGTCAAGGCATGCCACGTGCTTTTGAGGCGCCTCAAATGAGGCACCCACACGGCTATGTGGCACATGGCGTGTCAAGGCATGCCACGTGCTTTTGAGGCGCCTCAAATGAGGCACCCACACGGCTCTGTGGCACATGGCGTGTCAAGGCATGCCACGTGCTTTTGAGGCGCCTCAAATGAGGCACCCACACGGCTCTGTGGCACATGGCGTGTCAGGGCATGCCACGTGTCATCCCTTGATGTGTCGGTGCCAATCCTCCCACGGCGTATCTGTGAACTCAACTGATATGCCAGGCAGAGATCATCATACCGTATGGGAGTAACAAAAGCCACACCCTACCTGCAGGCCTGGTGCTGGTCGTATTTTAGAGCGCTTCAAAAGCCGCCTTTTAAGGCGCCTAAAATAAGATTAACAGACCAAATGGTAACCACAGAAGCAACCCTACCTGCAGGTGTGGCGCAGGTCGCAGGTTGAAGAGTGCCAGTGCACTGACTCACCTTGTGCTCATGGCACCACGTGGTACCACATGATACCACATCGTACCAGCAGCAGCCAGCCCGTACCTGCAGGCCCGGTGCTGGTCGCAGGTTGAAGAGTGCTAGTGCACTGACCCGCAGCCGGTGAGGCAATGGGGACCCTGAGAGGCGAGGAGGGGAAAATGAGAAAGGAGGGATAGTGGGATGGGATGGCAGCCGACCTTTGATGCGCTGCGAACGATGTGTTTTGAGGCGCCTTAAAACACACCTCTGATGCGCCACGGACGATCAAAGCTGCCAATGATTTGAGTTTATTCAAGAAGAATCGAGCAAGGATAGAGAGTGATGGGAGGGGGGGGTTGAACCGTGTCAATACAGGAGGAAAGGGGAGAGACATGGGAATGAGTCTTGTGAGGGACATGGACAGAAAGGGCTCTGTGAATAAGACATATTCACAGCATGATGTCATTGACCGTCTTGGGGAAAGTAGGATAGCCTGTGTTACTTACTAAGAAATACAGTTTTTTTACTAATGTCTCAAACTATGGTCTTGGTGGATTTCTAAAAAGCGTACCTCCATTTGTAGTGTCACTGCCAACAAGAGCAAGGTACCGCTCTATTCCACCTGAGATCACCGTCAGCATGACGTCATTGACCGTCTGAAGAGGGTGGGGTGAGGGAGGGGAGATGGTTGGAAAATTTAGGCGCCTATAAGGTTGACAAGAGCAAGGTACTGCTCTATTTCACCATAGATCACCGTCAGCATGACGTCATTGACTGTCTGAAGAGGGAGGGTGGGGTGGGGGAGGGAGGTGGAAGAGGGGGGTTCTTAAAGCGTCTAAAACATTGACAAGAGACAAGTACCACTTGGTCGTGTGTTTTTTGAGAATTCTCAAAAAGTACCACTTGGTTCCCCCACGGATGGTGTATTGTTAATCTCAGCGGACACGGCAAAGCAGCGCGGCGGGGCGTGGCAGTGCAGGTGGGGGGGCGCAACTTGCCTCACAAATGAAATCAAATCCAATCAAATCACCCAGTTTTTAACTCACCGCGCCTTTCACTGCCTTGTGAATGGTTGACACGTCTTCAAGGCTCATTTCAGGGGAAACCGCGAAGCAGCGCGGCAGGGCGTGGCTGTGCAGGTGGGGGCGCGCAACTTGCCTTACATATGAAATCAAATCCAATCAAATCACCCAGTTTTTAACTCACCGCGCCTTTCACTGCCTTGTGAATGGTTGACACGTCTTCAAGGCTCATTTCAGGGGAAACCGCGAAGCAGCGCGGCAGGGCGTGGCTGTGCAGGTGGGGGCGCGCAACTTGCCTTACATATGAAATCAAATCCAATCATATCACCCAGTTTTTAACTCACCGCGCCTTTCACTGCCTTGCGAATGGCCGAAACGTCCTCTAGGCTCATTTCAGGGGACACGGCGAAGCAGCGTGGCAGGGCGTGGCAGTGCAGGTGGGGTCCTCCCTTGATGGGCGTTGGTGTGTCGGCAACCCACAGAAGCACTGCGAGGTACTCGAGAATCTGAATGGGGAGGGAGGGAGTGAAGGGGAGTGGAAAACATACGTGCAGCACACATGGGGCGTGGCAGTGCAGGTGAGGGCCTCCCTTGATGGGCGTTGGTGTGTCGGCAACCCACAGAAGCACTACGAGACGAGGTACTCGTGAATCTGAAGGGAAGGTTATGAACGGAATCACATGCATGCAGGCAGCACAAGGGAATGCAGGGGGAGTGGGGAGTGAGGCGCTGCATCGGCTGTGTTACCACTTGTGAGCAACGCACAGCCGTTGCAGCTGATGAGTCGGCTCTACTTTAGAGGCAGTTACAGCAAGCCACTTGTGAGTCCATTCATGCACATACTTGCTGTGTTGTCTTGTTTTTTGAGGCGTCTCAAAAATCGCCTAAGTACTCGCGGATTTTATGTGGAGAGGTTTAAACTGCTTGGAAGTGTTCTCGTAACTTGCAAAAGTTACTGGTTCGTGCGCGGTTACCAAAATGACAGGTGTGTTGAAGACTTTCCCGAAGGCTGACTCTGCACCCTGGGTGTTTCCCATTGCTTAGTTGGCGATTGCTTGTAAAATACAATCTGGGTAGTTGGTTGACACAAAGTAGATCTCGAGGGCAGTAGGCTAGTACTTAGCGAGCTGCTGCTCTAAGCCCTTCTTTCTTGTGTGGATCTGACAAGCACTGATGAAGGCTGATCGGGTTTAACCCGTTGGCCGAAACTAGTTTGCGATTAGGATTCTTACGAGTTAAGGGGTTTCTTGTACTACTTCAATTTCTGGGAAGTTTTTTACAGTTTCGTTCCTTACAGTTGCTTAAGCGTTTTCTTCAGGATTTGTAGCTATTCCGATATGAGTTTGGATTCTGACGACTTTGAATGGTCTCCACTGGTAGCGGAAGACGCCGAACCTGAAGTACGCAGTTCGTCTAAGAGAGCTCGTGGTAGTGGTAACAAGTCGCGCTCTGGCAAGAAAGCCCCCGGGCAGCCACAGACCGGCAATCGTTTTCCACAATTGGCGTTGACCCACGAGCCGCTTTTGCGTAACGAGCAACCTGTGATTCCTCCCGCTGGACCTTCTGGAAGTCGTCCCGACAACATGGCGGATCCGGCTGAAGATTCTCCAATCCAGGAACCTTTCCGTGGCTGGGTTTCTGAAGCTGTTAAGGATTTCCGCGACGATTTCAAGAAATGGCTGAAGGCGAAAAGCAAGCTTAAGAAGATGAAGGAGCTCGATCGCCAAGGCACGATTCTGCACAGCATCCGTACGAAAGCGGTCGAGTTCCAGACTACTATTGACTCTGTTAAGGAGAAATCCACAGCGGCTGTTGCTGAGATCCATTTGGAGAATCAGAAACGACTGCAGACAGAGTTTATCGCCTCCAAAGCTTTAGAGGTTGAGGAATTTCAGAAGGCAGCCGGCACGCGTGTCACCACTCTGGCGACGCGGATGGAGGACTACATAAAGGGCCTAAGCGCGGATCCCGATTTGGTGGTTTCAGACGCCGCCAAGGAGAAGTTTCGGCTTATGAAGGGACGCTGTATCGTGAAGGCCCAGGCCGACATCGCCACCGCCAAGGATGAACTTACCATCCGAGAGTTGGATCGACAGCGACGACAGGCTGACGAGGATTTGAAGAAGGCTGCTGCGTCCGAGGAAGTGCAGGAGATGGAACTCGAACCTGCGTTGGAAGAGATTCTCGCTAAGCATGCAAAGAGGATTGAGGACAAGCTGCGCAAGGAAATTACAGCAAAGCTTGAAGTCAGTCTATCGAAGAAGCTGCTGAAGAATCTCTCCCTTAAGGGACAGGACCCGATGCAGGCCCCTGCTGCTGATCCGAAGCCGAAGAATCCTGCGGGGAAGCAGAAGAATCAGCCTTCACCTGCGGAAGGCGCGTCTGCCGCAACCACTGGACTCAAGCCAAGGAGGAAGCGCGGGGGAAATAAAAAGAAACAGAAGCAGAATTCCGGCACTGACAAAGACAAGCAGGCGGGAGGCCAAGACAAGGGAGTCACGGCCAAGGGACCAAAAAACGGTGGAGGCGGCCCCGGCAAAGGGCCGCGCAAGAACTAACCAGCCACGAGCTGGCTCTCCGCTGGTTTGGACGGCTGACGCCACGGCAGATTGCGCTACGCGTCCGTAACCGCGGAGTTCACAACCTCAGCGCCAAGATCTTGTCCCCGGATGAGAAAAAGGCACTGGGGTTGGGTTTGAAGTTCATACCCACGCCTACCGTTTCCCTCTCTGCTGGAGTCGAGTTAGATCAGCTCTTCCGACAGATCTCGTTACATTTCTTCTTCAAGGATGCAGGCAGTTCTACGAGGGAATCGCGCTTTAGAGTTCGGAACCCGAGTTGGCTTCCTGATCGGATCATCATTCCGGAGCAGGTCTTCAAAGACTCGTCCTCGGACCTGTCTGTCCTGTTGAAGACAACAAGGCCTGACCGCCGCCGAAACATCTCGTTAGGTGTCAGAAGGGCCTTGCGTTCCATCGCTGCAGATCGAGACGTAGTTGTGAAACCCGCCGATAAGAACGTTGGGATTACAGTCATGGATAGGGACCATTATGTACGGTTGTGCATGGAGCATCTTGGCGACAGCAACACCTACACTCCTGTCCAACATGATCCTACCGTCGACGTTGAGCGGAAGCTGCGTGACTTGCATAGCGTATGGGGCCCTGCTTTTCCCGAAACGCTTTGGAAGTATTTCTTTGACAAACCACCTGGAGGATGGAAGCCCGCAGCCTTCTACATCTTACCGAAGCTGCACAAGGAGAAGCTCGCGGGGCGACCGATCGCCGCCTCGCATTCATGGGTGACTTCTAACGTCAGCCGCTGGTTAGATGCTGAGTTACGGCCGTGGGTTTTGCAGCAGCAGACATACCTCCGGGATTCCCTCTCGCTGCTTTTGAAGCTGGAAGAAACCGCCTTCCCGAAAGGGATCCTTCTGGCCACCTACGACGTTGCCTCTCTTTACCCCAGCATTCCCTTACGACGAGGCATCGACGCAGTTAGCAGCATTCTACAGAGTGGGACACACCCGAGCTACCTCCCTATCATTGCCCTGCTGGAGTGGGTGATGATGAACTCATATGTGGAGTTCGGCGGCCAGCTGTATCTTCAAAGGCAGGGTACTGCTATGGGAACTCCTGCAGCAGTGTGCTTTGCCGTGCTGTTCATGAGCCGTTTGGATGAGGTGTTGAAGAGGAGATGGACTGGGACGCAGCCGCTTTGCCACGTCAGATACATTGACGACGGCCTCATTGTTTGGCCAGGATCTCGGACCGAGCTTGAAGCCTACCTGAACGTGTTCAACGAGCTCGACCCCAACATTAAACTGACGTGGCATGTCTCAGATGTTTCGGCAGATTTTCTCGACATGGTCAGCTTCAAGGGACCCAGATTTGCCGAAAAGGGTATCCTGGATCTGAAAATTTTTCAGAAACCTATGAACCGGTACCTCTATCTCCCGTTTTCTTCGTTCCACCCGCGACACTGCAAGATTGGGTATATCAAGGCAGAACTGAAGCGGTACTTACTCCGTTCGACATCTGCTGAGTCCTTTCTCACCTCTAAGCACGCATTTTTCCAACGGCTTAGATGTCGCGGTTACCCAAGAGAGTTCTGTTATAGTCACAATAGGCTTGAATGTGCCTAAAACGAAAGATAGAGAGCACAGACGGATTTCTGCACAGCGGCTTCAAACGTTGATAGCGTTCTGCTCACAGCTGCAAATGACTTGATTCAAATTGGATCTGGAGCGTCTTCACGTCGTCTACAATTAGCAATTTAGATTGCACGATTTGATAAAGAATTGACGACACAGCGTCGGTTTGAACGAACGGTACTATGGCAGCCACTATAGTCTTAGAACACAAGATAGGAAGAGTTACGAGTTGGGAATGACTCCCAGCTCCTACAAACCCCAAGAGCCGAGGTACAGTGATGTGGAACAGTGCCACACTGTCCCCAACCACGAAGGGTCTCGAAACTACCCTTCACTAGGGCCTACACCAAGTGAAATGTTACACTACACAAAGTAATGTAACTATCTTCAATATCTTGAGGTGTACCCTTTTTGGCGAGCTTCGAAATCACTTGAGGCTTGACACCATGGCTCGGGCTCTTCATCACAAACTCATCCTTGAGTTCTTGATGGGTCTGCTGCACACACCTGCGACACGCCGAACGTTCGACACAGGACAAAATAGAAACCGCGCACGACAAAATAGAAACCGCGCGCGAGACACAAACGACCGCGTAACACGCGTCTAGCGATAACTCGCTATTGACTCGACACACACACTCGACATCATGACTCAACATTCACACACAATTATAAGCATGAAATATATATTATCCCATGCCCTCATACCATTCCATACACACACACATTCACGCACACGGACAACAAGCCGAGTGCAAACCGTAGGGTTGCACCAACAAACTCCCCCTCGGATTGTTGGCCTTAGGATATGTTGCTCTCTCAGTTCAGAGCCATCCCAGCCAGCTTGCAACACTTCCAATGCTGCTGCTCCACCAGCCTCTTGGTCATCATGTCAGCCGGCTGCCCCGTGGTCTTCACGTAGCGCAACTCAACTTCACCCGCGGTTACCATGCTCCTCGTCCAATGCCACTTCACCCTCATGTGCTTCGTGAGTCCATGCAACACAGGGTTCTTAGCAAGAGCAATGGCACCCTGGCTGTCACAGTACAGTGGGGTAGGTCCTTGCTGCTCCTCCCCCAATTCAGCCAACAAACGCCGCTGCCACACAATCTCCCGTACGGCACGGAAGAGTGCCATGTACTCGGACTCCACCGAGCTCAAAGCTTGGTCAACCTGCTTCTTGCTCTCCCAAGCAGTTGGGCCTCCACCAACACAGCATATGAAGCCTCCCACACTTGTCATGTCCTCTGGTTCTGATGCATATGAAGCATCCGAGTAGGCGGTGAGGAACAAACGCCCGGGTTCAACACCATCCGCGCCCTTTTGGCGCCTTTGTGCCGCGGCCGAGTATTG